ATTGATCGAATCAATCGACGGGATCGGGTTTCGTCCTGTTTTAGGTTAAATTGTACCGTGGCTGGTTCTACTACTGTGCTGGGAACATCGTTGGTTTCGAAAAATCCGATTTGATCGCGCAAACCGGTGAAAGCATTGTCCCCTATAGAGCTGAGTGGATATCCGTATGTTTTGGCCCACTGTTCAAGTAAATATTTAGTAAAGTCTTCAAGGCTTAGTTGCTTTTTCCTTCGTTTTTTTTGGGGCCAGAGTTCCCAAAATGGTCTAGGACCAATGGTCCATAAAAAGCTCGTTGAGTCTCTTTCTGGAGGTTTAGGCCCACTGTGCTTAAACTGCACATCAGCTAGCTTATCCACCCGGAGCGGAGAACCTGGAGAGTTAGGACGAGGACGATACGAGGACAACCATTCTATCCCACTGTTCCTTTTAGACTGGGGCGGTGATTTAGAAAGTTCCAGAATCTCACACAGGATGAGAAAATCATCCCTGGTGACTAGGCCCGTATGATTGTAATCCAGCTGGTTAAATATCTCCTGTATATAATGATCTAGACCTAGAGACAGGATGGTTCCAGCATTGAATATTTCTCCGGGGGCGCTGGAGGACCGGTGAGAGGCTCCGCAGTGCAGGTTTCTGAAATGCCTGGAAAGAGCAGATTTTAGTAACCGTCCTGGATCCTTACTCCCGGGTTGACCTGGAGAAGATCTACTTCGGAGGATAACCTCTACATCCTTGCATATAGGGGTGGACGCCAGACTGGATGAAGGAGGACGGATTAAATCACTCCGCCTGTTTGAAGAGGGAGGTATGACAAGTCTTGTAGGACGCTGAGGTAAGGCTGATCCCTGGATAGGTTTAGGTTCAGATAAAACACTTACTCCAGGTTCATCTGGAGTTCTGTGAGGATTCAGCGGAGAACTTGGAGAAACATTCTCTTTATTCAACCTCGGGACTTGAAATTTCTTCCGAGGTTGGGAGTAGATTGGAAACTGGTTGGGATCAGTTAAAGTCAGTAACTGAGATCCCTTATTGTTTTTTCCTGTCAAACCTGCAGAGACTAGAGATCCCGGTTTTAATAGGGATTGTTCATATCTTGGAGCAGGATTATGTCGTTTCAAAGGATCCACTTCTGATTCTGGTTTGCTAATTACTCCTGTTGTCAATCTGGAATTGGGATCTAAACAGAATTTGTTTTCAAACTGAGGGTTTAATCTTGATTCTGATACATTTTCTGGTTTCATTCTTGATTCAGAACTTATTCTTAAAACTGGTTCAATTCTAGATCCTTGTTCAGCTTTAGAGTCTAGCTCCATTCTTGAACCTGGAGCAGTTCTTGAACCTGGATCTAGTCTGGTTTCAAGATCAAATCTTAAAGATGGATTTATTTTAGAACGTAGGTTTTCATTCAATCCTTGCCCTTGCCTTGAACCTTGATCCTCTTGTAAACCTGGATTTGTTGGCGATCCTGGAGAGCTCAGATCCTGCTCCGCCTGTTTCCTCCCCCCACCTGGAGCAACGTTCTCTCCATTCGTCTTATGTTCCTTCTTGCGTCGTTTAAATTGAAAAAATCTACTTTTTAACGAACCCCGTCTCAATCTAGAGTTTAAATCTCGTTCTTTTCTCATAACAACAACAGAATCACCAACAACAACTGTCTCTCCACCTCCGCCATTTTGTCTCCCAACATCTTGTCGTTCTCCCTTTTCTCTTCTTTCATTCTGCCCTCTACTATCAGCAACCCTTCCACTGCTTTCCCGCTCTGCATTCCACGTAGCTCCATTCCCTGCAGCACCTCTTCCTCCCCTTTCCCTACCTCCATTCTCCGCACCTTCATTACCATTTCTTTCATCACTACCTCCATTTCCATCCCCTCCATTCTCCCTACCTCTCCTGTCCTCTGGAGTTACTCCGATAGGATGAGCTCTCCTGGTGTAGGGAGTACCCTGAGCTGAACCTGAGTTTTGGTTTTTCAACCATTCTTGTCTCACTGGTCTAGAGAAGGTATTTCTAGACTCAAAAAATCTTTCTCCATACTTGGGACTTTGTCCCTGCTCACCCGGAGCAGGAAATATTCCAGGGCCCCCGGGTGCAGAGGAGGGCCCAGGGCCACCAATATCAGGGTTGAGCCCAGGGCCCCAAGGAGGACCTCTCTTCATAAGTTGTTGACCCACCCCTGACTGCCTTCACCATATCTGAAAGAGATTCTTGATTTTAATTGGAATGATAATCAAATTTGTGTCTAAGTATGGAGTCATGATGTAATCATTTAATTCAAACAAGGTGTCTCAAAAGCAAAACATATTTAGATTATCTGGTTTCTAGGGTTACCCGTAAAGGATGATGTTTTAAAGACGACATTGAGTTGAGTTATTGTAAATCATTAAGGTAAGATTAACAACTAAGGGTTTAAGCACAATCTTTAAGATTTACGATATTTTGTGGAAATAATGAAGAAACTTTTAAACATCCAGTAAATAAATAAATAAATAAATAAATAAATAAATAAATTGAAAATCATCTTTCTTACTGATGTACGATATTGACAATGAATTAAATCTAATTTTGGGACAAACTGCTAACTAGAACATGGAGCATAAGCTTCATAAAAATACCTTTATTGCTCATCAACCAGAATTCATTGATATCATTCAAACTAAACCCGGATTCGATTTAATTGAAATTGAGAGTAATATTTCTTTAAATCGTGTTTATGCTTGGTAGACTGTTCAGCTTTTCACATTTGTTTAATAATTACCCCCCCCCCCCTCCCCTCAACCCCAAGAACTGAAATCATTTCTCCCACAAATCAAAGATCATTGTGAAATTCATTTAGAAATAATGTTTTAATTTTGTGTTGGCGCGATTTTTATTGACTTTACATTTATAGAGTGGAATATTTGTTTACAACAGTTATACCCTTTATACTTTTGTCTGATCAATTATTAACTGTGGGTTCTATATTCAAGTGTTTATTAATATTATTGTAGATCAATCTAAAAAACGAATTTCATCTTCAAAACTAGAATGTAGACAATTATCTGATTTCCAAACTGGGTTTCATTTTCTAAACTTTAATCACAAAAGTTTCCAGGTCTGGTTGAGGTGTAATGAATAATGAAGTGTGTACTGTATATTATCTCAATATACTGAATATCTAATGAACAATATGGCCGATACTAAACGTAATTCTACAATGTTGGAAAAACAAATATCTGAGATAATCAAATGCGAATAGTGCGAATTCCTGGTCACTCCAACCCCCC